AGAGAGAATGAAATCAAGTACCATAGTCCGTTACATATGCATCGACACCCAATTAAAAAGAAATATTTCCATTACGAACCAATATTTGTGGTGTAGGAGGCACACGGAGAGCCACGTGTGTGGATGGACCCCCAGCGCAAGTCCGTGTTCGTGAAGGTAGCGGGTAGGTACACACAGAACAATGACGAACCAGAGCCAAACGTATAGCCGAGCGAGCGGGACCGGGAACAAACAAGAACAAAGATACGACTGCTATTAATATCACTGGACAAGATTAGTTACGATACGCTGCTAAGTATTCTTGCATGATTAGGGCTAGAGATAGGGTGATATGCCAAGGTGTTAAGGGCCAAACGTGAGGTTTCCTCGCCGACAGTCAAATTACGGGCGGGTCGGCTGGTCGAGGGAGGAAAGGGGGGGGGGGAGGTTTGAGACGAGGAACGGTTTTGAAGATTAAACGGGATCGATCGAGAGAGCAGATCGGCATCAAAGGGAGTTTGCTACTGAATATCCGCCGATACTCTTACTGACAGCCTGTTGAAGTGTCCCTGCGAGCCACGTACGTTGCTCGAGTACTTCGTTTCTGCTGCATCTTAGTCGCAGAGAGATATAAATGTGGCTCGGAGCTCTGGTTTGTCATTGGTCATGCATAATAAGCGCGATGATTCGTGAACCGCCGTAGGAGCGACAGTTTGCGATTCTCGCGTATTTTCTCGTACCGTAAAAAGACAAAGAGAGACAGATGTTCGCTGCGTCTTGGAAGTTACTTTGCAATCGACAATTCGCTCGTCTCGCACTTTTTCACTCGTGGCTGCATTTATGTGCTACTAGCTTACGAAACGCAATAGTGTTACGAAGACTTCGTTCTTCGTGATAACGAAAAGTCCGAAAGGTCCGAAAAGAGTCTGAAAGAACGAGAATTCAAGACGGTCGTTACCGTAACCGCTTTGCCGTCATCTCGAAATCAAGTATCGAACATGTGGGTATTATAAACGACACGAGTTTCACAGTCGATATAGCTCAACATTTGTCACTTGCTTTATATCCGATAAAATCGTGTTGTGATCGAGTGTCGCGATTAGAGCTAACCAAGAAGAAATCCAGAAATGATTGATAAGGCGATAAATTATACTTCCTTGCGTACTTATCGTAATTTATGAACATTTACGACGGGGTACCGAGTGAAATGGAAACGATGCCCGATGAGAGAAAAAGGTATTCCAAGCGAGCTTAACAAGCAACGAAATGTCCGCACATACCTTTCTCCGAGCTGTAAAAGTAAACGTGCCACTTTCTTCCGGCATATTAACTGACTTTCGATGGAAAAAGGGTGGTATCTGTGGTGTCAACAGTAGAGGCGACGACGGTAACGGTAACTAATATATATATATATATATATATAAAATAATAGTAACGGTCACAGTAGAGAGTGTAATAGTAGAGGCAATAGTAGCAGGAGTGACAATAGCAGCAGCAACAATAATATGAAAACTTGCCGATAGAGAAAAATGTTAATGGCGATAACAACTACTACAACACATCAAATAGAAAAGATATATAATGATAACATCGGATGATGAAAAATTTATTTCTTTCATTTATAAGTAAGAGAAAGGACGGTATGTCCAGAAATGAACGTGCCTTCCCCAAAAATACGACAAGTAAGCGAAAATACATTAATATGGGTACACGCGCGCACGCACGCACGCACGCACGCACGTACGCACGCACGCACACGCATGTATACGTTCTGTGTCAATAGATGTGCCGTTTATTTTTAGCGATTATAATCTTTTAATGCGCGTCTTGTTTACTTGCTGACACACAACTTGAACAATTTTTCTCCATAATTTTTTTTCAATAATGTTTCTTAAACGCGAGTGTGTTTGAGTAATCTGAAATAATAAGAACACATTGCTTGAAAATTGTAATTAATAATAATACAGAAACACCGTGTAAATGCTGATACATGTGCATGCACAAAGTAAAGCATCAAAACGTGGAACAATCTGAAAAAACTATGATAAATAACAATACTTATAATTTACGGATGCTTCTCCCACTTGCACTTGAAAATATCGATATTAATTCTCGCGTTTACGCTATATACAGGTTTAAGTAAACCAGCCTAAGGTAAAATGAATATTTTAACAAGTAAACCCTATACAAACGTGATGGGCGCAAACACAATTGTGCAAAAATCAATTAAGCTTCTGCAACATATTTATACATTTTATTTCCGATTCAATAAATTATAGAAATTTGAAATTAAAGTGACATAAAAGTATAAAAATGTTAATTTTCCGTGTGAAAATCGCGGAAGACTTATCAATTCTGCAAATAGCGCTGAATAAATTGATAGAATTGGACGACGCGTGTGTCGTGATGCAAGTATATATTTTAAATCCTTGAAAACGAAATCTTATTGCTAAATCACAGCAAAGAATCCTCTGTCGTGGATATAGGGTATGAAGGAAAGAACAAAGGACGAGCATTGTATCGGGTAAGAAGGAAAATTAAGGAGAACGGAGGGAAAAGGGCTCACTACTTTATCGAATTATAATTGCCTTGTCTGAAGGAATATTACGAATAAATTAGATACATTAAATAATATTTTATTATCCCGTTTTTGTACCGCACCTTTCCTTGTATCGCCACGTAGGGCGATAAACAGAAAACAGAACTTGTCTGCAATTATCGTGTGTGCTCGTCACATAAATAATATATAAAAATAACAACAAATCGCGTGGCCCTTGTCGAAAATCGAAAGAGTTATGCCTATCACATAAGTAATCGCTCAGATTCTAATACACGCGGACCTTCGGCCCGATCTTTCACTCGTGTCGCAACGCTATTTACAAGTGCTGCAGATCATTCGTCGTAAAAAATATCAATGCGCGTTGTCGCTCGTCTGCTCATGAGGCGACATACCTGAATCACCTTCTCGGCTACGCATTTTACTTCAAGACGTCGCTCGTTCGACCTGCATTTCACCGATCGTCACAAACGAAGGCGCATTATGTTCCACAGACGACTACTTTGTCGCGAGTGCGTCCCTCGAACGACGATAGAAAACTATCCGGGGTACGTTCGCATTAGAAACCGATCAAATCTGCTTCATCGACACGCTACCGACTCAAGTGATTCAACTCGTTTGTGATTCCTCTACGCTACTCTGCGACAAGTCATTAACGTTACGCTAGATCACATCAAGTCGCAAAACAATCGTATGATCGATCGGCTTTCTTTCGCACTTTGAACAGTTGGAACTGCCTGTCTTCCTCATTAGTGTTCGAATACGGTATAACGAACGAAGAAAACCGAGATTTCTACGTTTCGAATCCGTCGACCTATATATTTCGCTGTGCAGCGAGAAATGCGTATTTTAATCGCCGGCGATCCCAAAATTCCGGGTCGCGTCGGATCTTAATCCGTATCGATAACGACAACAAACGCCTGTGTCGCGTGAACATCCGGTACACCCTGGTCACTAAAAGATTCGTGACAGAGGGAGAGAGAGAGAAAGCGAAGGGAACAAACGGTGAGCAATCTCATCCCATTCGCGGGTGTTGTTGAGCCTGGTGTTGCTGTTGCTGCTGTTGTTGCTGCTGCTGCTGCTGCTGCTGCTGCTGCTGCTGTTGCTGCGCAGAGTAATTTCTCTCGGTGTGTTCTCTCTGGTCTCTCTGCCACTCGCGGGCCTGCGCTACTTCCTTTCTCTGCTGCTCGCTTTTGTTGTGCTGTCGATGGTAGATGCTCTTGTGGTTGCGTAGACTGTTTAGACTGGAGTAAACCCGCTTGCAGATGTTACAGATCGGTTCCTTGCTGGGCCTGGTGTGCACGTTCTGTATGTGCCGCTTCAACCGCGTTAGGGAGGTCAGGTTTTTGTTGCACGGCTCGCATCGAAACTCATCGCTCGCGCCGCTGCCGGCCAACAGACCTGGCGGCAGAACCAGACACACAGGGGTTACTACTTTTGTAGGGGTTTTTGGCGCACGGAGCGTCGCACGGACGTTGGACAGGTGGACAAGTAGACATTAGACTGGGGTAGGGGAGGGTAGAGATAGATAGAGAGATAGAGATAGACAGATACAGAGATAGAGAGAGAGAGAGAGGAGGGGGAGGGAGGGGGGGAGAGAGAGAGAGAGAGAGAGAGAGAGAGAGAGAGAGAGAGAGAGAGAGAGAGAGAGAGAGAGAGAGAGAGAGAGAGAG